TGATGTCCATTTTATGAAATATCATGTGGTGTGACCTCAAAAAAATCAATGAATATTAAGTTATTTCTACAAGTACTTATTTTTATTATAAATTTCATAGTGACCCTTTGTAGGAAGCTAGCTTGTTTTGTTTAGGTTGCCAATTCTGTGCTTGTAAATTTTGACTGAATTTGAAAATATCATGTGGTGCAACCAAATATCATGTGGTGTGACCACTGCAGTGTTTTCCATTATAGATATATGTCCCAGCTTGGCAGATTTATATTTAGAAATAGATTTTTATGCAGTTTGGGTCATTTCAGATGGTTTATGTTTAATCTTTGTACAATATGAGAAAAAAATGCAAAAAATATATATATTTAGAGCATTTCATTAAGACCTGCCCCCCTTAGTTACTGTTGCTATGTCTGACAAACCATGGCACTTTTATGCCACACATCACGGAGCAAAGAGGACACTGACAACAAGCTGACATACAAGACAGAGCAGTCTCAGAGTTCAAATTTTGTCATTTTTTAAAGAAATTCAAACAATAAATACTGTTTTGTGGCTTTTTAATGTGCTGTGACAGATCGCTGTAGCGCCTCAGTTCAAGCGGCACATGAACCGATCATCTCTTCATCTTAGATATATCACGAAATAAACATGAATGAACATCAGAAGGCATCTTTTTTCAACCATGAAAAGACGTCAATACACACCATTTTTCAAGTTCAAGTCCACGATGTTAATCTATTCACCTGGCTGGTTTGTTTGTCGGACAAAAATGACGGATTTTGTGTCATAATTGGTCAGATCGTCTGTTAATCAAACTCCCGGCGAAGGGTCAATTGAGCATGAACATACAAAAGCATTCACAATTTACCAAAAGTATGAGAAATTGCTTTTATGACGTGCACAAGTGACTAGATGATGAGGAGGTTGAACAAGTAGTTTTAAGAATTTCAATTCTGGTCTGAGAAATGTACTAAAGCGAGTGAGAAAAAAACTGTAATTCATCTGCCAATTTAGCATAACATATAATAATAATAATAATTATTATTATTATTATTATTGAGGTGGTGGTGGTGGTGGTGCACTGTGAAAATGTGGTGTTATTGATGAATTTGTGTATTGTATTTGGTACATAGGTGGCCTTTGGTACATAAAGCGTGTAAATGTCACTTGTCTGTGTCTGCCTCATTAATATGTTGTTTTTATTATTATTATTATTATTATTACATTTGAAATATTAGACTGGAGAGATAGTCCTGAAGGGGGCTATTAAAATTTTATTATTTAAGGATAAACTTTGTTAAAATGTGTTATGTATTTATAATATAATATAATATAATTTAACAATATTATTGATTAGAAATATTTTAGTACACTCTAGTACTCTTTAATGTAGTGCACACTGGCACTGGACTCATTTTATGTGTTTACAAACAGGAAAAAGCCATTTGGGATAAACTGTTTGGAATGACGGTTTGAATCTTTGAAGATCTGTGTAGGTGGGTCTGTCAAGCAAGTGTCACAACACAGAGGTCAGTTTACAGAACATAACACTGTTTTGGAAAATGAGTTGCTAATTTGAACAGGTATTGTCTAAGATGTGGGTCAGAAGACAGGCTGTCATCTCAGATTGTTCAGATTAATTGGTTCTGCAAGCAGAGGCATCTTTGTAAGGACAATTCACGTTACCTTATACCTCACACAAACCTTTCTTACCTGTTAATAAATTGCATCTGTGCACATTTTGAACATCTATTTCTTGTAAACCTTCCTCTAAAAGTGAAAATGAAAGCAATTTAGACATCTCACCTGAGCCGCAGCCAACATTTAAACGCCATGATAGCTTATGAAGGGATATGTGGTGAGTGTGCTGAGCTGCTTCCTCTAGAATTCTGCTTTGTTTATGAATAGTGCTGGAGGAACTCTGCATGGATCACTTTCAAGTGAATTATAGGCTCGTCCTGGTTGAGCTCCTGTTCAGCCTACCAGTTTTATTTTGCATTAAAGAGCCAAATTATTTATGTGGAAATGTTCCACTTTTTTCCTTCATTTATATAACTCCGGTGATTCCAGCTGACACCAGACATTAAGCAACCCCTAACTTTGCCAGTTTAGTCAATTTAATAATGACTCATTAGTCATTTAACTGACACTTTTATTCAAAGCAATTTACAGTACACTTATTACTGGTGTTACTGATGATGAAATGCTTTGCTCAAGGATACAATGCTGATAGTTAATAGATCAGTGCTGCTGGGTTTAAACACACAAATGTAAGTCATAGTGCTTTATAATGCTTCCCTGGAGTTTATAGTATATCCTTTTTAATTGCATGGAAAATATCTACTCTTTCACATTTCTGCTTTGTGTTTCGTTGAAGAAAGAAAATCTGTATTGTAATGTAGCAGATTAATTGTTTTCCTGGTGTCATACTAGATGGTAGTTTATTGGCGATGGGAGGGAGAGTTCTGTGAAGTGTTGAGGGGTGTGTCTACAGGATGATGAGCACACCATACACAAACAACCTGTGACAACATTTTTCATCTTGCAGTGCAATGGCGAGGACTCTGCTTTCCGCTTTGTGTCTCCTGGTTGGACTTGTATGTTTCCCAAGTACAGAATGTTGGGAAGCACCTTGGTTCTGTCATGGACGTGAGTGTCCTGTGTACACTGTGGTACAACAGTATGAGGTAGGCCAATGGTTTTTGTTTTGTCATTTGGGATATTTTAAATATGGTCTTTTCTATGTAAAATATTTATATCATTGTGTTAATAATACATAAAAAGGGATTTGAGGAGCGTAACTACGAAGTGAGCCATTGGATTACAACTGATGTTGCGAGTGCCATTAAGAGTGATTTAAAGGATGGATTTTGGAAACTGTATTATTTCAATCAAGGTCAAAACAGTGAAAGTAAGTAAGCTACACTGGTAACACTTTACAATAAGCTCTTATTTGTTAACATTAGTTATTGCACACAAACTATGGTTAATACTGTACATTAATAGAGAATTTATTAGCCTTTCTTAATGTTAGTTTATACAGATTGTCCATTGTTTGTTCATGTTAGTTCACAGTGCATAAACAGATACAACTTTTGATTTAAAAGTGTTTTAGTAGATGTAAAAATTAACATTTAGATTAAGAAATGCTGTAGAAGTGTTGTTCAATGTTAGTTCATATTAACTAATGTTATCAAATGAAACCCTATTTTTAAATTCATGGTTTTTATCAGATCACATTAGATTTTTTAAATAAACATTCCAGTATGGTAATCACATTTTAATAAAGTCATTTTATACTCATAGTGTATCATAATTTGACTTCTCAGATAAGGAGATTGCTATGACCAGGCCTGTGCTGGTCTCAGTGAAGGAAGCTGATGGTATGGGGGAGCAAAAGGTGTCCATTTCCGTCTTTCAGTCTGACACGGACATTCCTGAGCCCAATGATAATACCATCAGAAAAATAGTCATACCAGGCGGTACTGTCTACGTCAGGTTAGATATTTTAGGAAAGGATGACAGTCAAAAACTGTCTGTTTGACTCTTTTTCATTTAAACATTCTCTCTTTGCTGGTCATTACAGGTCGTTTGGTGGTTTTGCATCTGATGAAGATGCCTTGGAGAATGTGCAGCAGCTTAGGGAGGACCTCAGAGCTGCAGGAAAGGAGTTTGTTGAAAACAGGTTCGATGCAGCTGGATATGATGCACCATGGGATTTGATCAACAGGCACAATGAAGTTTGGGTTCGTGCACCCTGAGGACTTGCAGATCCAGAAAGTTCTGTTCCTCATTCCTACGGTGTAGCCTCTTTTTACTTTGAAGTTCCAGTCTATTGAAGATTTCCTTGTATATCATATGACGAAATGATAGTATAGTGTTCATGCTTCAGTCTTAACCATTGGATTAATGTTTCATTTTGTGCAGTACAAATGTGGAAGTACTTTGAAGTTGTTTGACAGGATTATAAACTGGTTTTAGGAATGTGATGACTATCATCTACCTCTGTAGGTTCAGATAGATTCAAACTGAAAATGCAGTAAAATTTACTGAAATCTAATAGCTTTAACAATAAAACATGTGACCTCTTTATTCAAAACGTTTTTGTTATTTTTCATTATACATTCTATGTAAGTCATTCTATTTTTCAATCTAAAACATTGTATGAAATGAATTCACCCACTTCTCTCGACTGATCAAATGATTGAAAACTGCATAAAATTAACACATTCCAATAAGAAGAAGATAAATATTAAGACCTAGAAAAGACACAGAAACCTGATACACAAAATACAGCAAGTTTCCAAAATACAAAGGAGAAACAGGTTTAGAAACGATCTGAATGGGAATAATGTGATTTTAGGTTATCAGGTGTCTCATCAGCTTTTGTTCATGTTACAAGAAGCTCCACCCACTAAACTGGTCTAACTAGTGATCCAGATCTTCCCTTAAGCTGTTAATGAAACTATTTGATTAAACTAGCACAAAGCTCAGTGATAGATACTAAAGAAATGTGAAGTTGAATGTGAATCTTCCAGCTTGTGAGTCTTCCAACTTGTCGTTCCAGTTTGAATCTGTAAGAAAGCATGTGACTTCAGACAATGTTTTTGTCATTTGCAGCTTGGTGCTTAATCAGTGGCCTTAAAAATACATAAAATGGTGAGTTGTTGTTTCGCAGCACGGTTGTATGGTGCTGAATTCATAAGCCTGCAGAACTATGTGATTGTTTGTTGATGGGGGTTTCCCTCTTGTGTATAACATGGGAGTGTACTAGCTGAGAAGAAAAATGGGTCAGCCCACCTGAGACGTTTTGTCATGGTGACTGATCTGGAGTCAGTTTAATTAGTCACATCTTCTCTAGCAGAGCCAGGAAATGTGATGAGGCTGCATTTTCCCACTTCTGCAGTTCTGCGCCACAATTCCTCCACAAAATGGGCCAGCAACCTCACCTGAGAGAGAGCAAACTTTGTTGTCTCTCTGAAAAATGTCTTAACTCACTAACTCTCCCAGGCTGGTTAAATAGCATACAGCAGCTAGCAAACAAACATTGAAAACAAGTAAAAAATTATCTCATCTTTGATTAAACATTTCATTTCATTTTCAAGACAGACTCACTTGCTAATTTAGTCACAAAGAAACATAAAATTGTACAAATGTGATAAAAAGCTGACTCATTGGTCACTGAAAGCAAATACACACTCCCGTGTTTAATCACTGGTCGCCGTGATTTTGCCAAGTAAGACATGTTTCATCAACATCTTTTGTTGATCCTGGATCAACATTACTGTCTAAAAATACAGACTTAACCCAATCCCTACCCCGAAACCTAACCTTACCCACAATTTATTCCTAAAATCAGAGGGAAATGACAGCTGATTAACAAAGGTGTAGAAGCACCTAACCCTGATTGTAAGCCTAAAACTGACATTTCCTGAAAAGTTATCTCTCAATTCTGATTGGTTGATTGGAATGATGATCATGGATCAACAAGGATGTTGATCCAGGAACATGTTGTACTTGGTCAAACCACGCTCACCTTTAATCACTACATGCTAAGATTCAAAGTTACGTTATTGTACACTAGGTGGCAGCACCAACTTGTGATGTTTCTCTATCCTCTTCTACATCACATATGGCATCAAATTAGTCTACTCAATTTGTGCATCTCCAGTTTTCATGAAAATTTCCTCACCCAATTGCTTTAGCTCTAAATATGCTGTTGTATCTAGAATAACTTTGAGCTAGAAGAACGTGTGGGCAGTTCATCACTAGCAATGTCGGAACAAAACCCACTACCCAGCATGCCTCAGCGCTCACCATGGGAAGCTGGACACTCAATGCCCCTCAACACACATTCACAGTTTCCATGGTTACATTTCTATAGCAAGAAGCCAGCCATGTTCGTCAAAAACATAATTATGCTTCAATGAAGTCAGATCTGTAATAACCCCTAGATGTGTTTTTATGAGTCATAGACAACTTGCCGTGACTACTCACTTATATAGTGGTATTTTCATCAGCAGGCCTCAGGACTGTTGTGTTCTGCAGTTAATTTAACACGGGGAGCTTATTAGGTTATATTAGGTCGTACGCTTTGAAATCAGCGCATATTCGGCTAGTGTTTGTGGAGGATAAGAGATGTTCAGCCATTCACAAGAACTGTGTAGTTGTGATATCTTGGAACAAGCTAAGTATCTCATTTATTGGCACACTTTTATTTTGAAATTCTGTCTGGGCTCGTATGTGCCACCATGGCGTCCAATAAAAGCCCGTCTGACTTGGCAGGTTATGTCAGCATATGTTTGCGGGCTTGTGAATTTTAATCTGCCCTGTTTTGGACGATGTTCTTGGTTTGGAGGTCCCAGCCAAGAGCCTGTTTGGACTGGTTCATGGGAATTAATCTTATCAGAGATGGGCCAGTTTCCTGAGAATATAGCTGGAGCTCTATGCTGTCAGATAAGGCAATGTAGGAATGCAAGAGCAATTGTGCATTTTTGGAGAGTTTTAACCATGTAGAATGTTCATGCTTATGCCAGCCGAGCCGTGATATGTGTGTCCATCTGTTGCATGATCTGTCTGCTTTCACTCGGTTTTGAGGTCCAAAACACCGTTAACTACTCTCTGCTTCTCCCATGAGTTGGTTTCATTTTTTTTTTAACATAACGCACGATTAAAAATACAGCAGCTTTTGACCAAGAACAAATTTTTTTTTCTTTTTTGAATGATGTTTCATATTAAAATGTCCCTCATGATTACCCCACGCTGTTTATAATTGATGATGTGCTGAACAAGAGGACACAAACCACAAAAAGAGCTGAAACTCATGGCTGTCACTGAAACTCAGATGCTGAGAGCAGCAAATTTCTACTAAACTTCGGTCCCAACAGATTTGCAATTAATTATTTTTAACAGTCACTGCAGCATACATAATGGTTGGCCTGTGATATATGGAGTATATATGTATAACATATCTTGCTCACCGGTGAATCCGCTGCAGTAAATGGGTGCTGCCAGAATGAGAGTCTAAATAACTCATAAAAACATCACAAGTAATCCACATGACTCTAGTCCATCAGTTAATGTCTTGTTAAGTGAAAAGCTATTTGCTTGATGAGCATGTAATGCTATTCTCCAAATCTGTTCTGATGAACAAACAAACTCACATCTTTAAAAAGTTTAGCAAAATATAATTTTTGGATGAACTATTCCTTTACGATTTTAAAACACGGTGTAAACAAATGTTTGTAATATAATTTTAATTATTATTATTGTTGTTTATGTATAAAAATCTGCACTAATTCTATAGGTCACTAATCGAAAAGGCATGTTTGTGGCAGAGAATGTGAACTGTTCATCTGGTCACATTCTTGCTTCTTGCAAGTGCTGTCAGATGTTTGTGATATAGTGATCACTAGGCTCACACGTCCTCCATTACAGTGCTTAAGAGGAAGTGCTGTTATGTCTGTTGTGCTCCTGCAGCATAATGGATGTCATCATGTAGGACAGAAGAGCTCATAGCAACCCTTGGATCTCCTGAGGTCCAGCTTTAAATCTTTTAAATCTCCTCCCCTCAACTTGATCGCTCAGCAAGTTTGGAAGCCTCTCCCATTTGTGAATCTCAGAGTTTGGGGTAATGAATTATAGATTTGAGTTTTTCCAAAAAGAATGTTGAGGAATTTATTGTAACTTTTATTTATTTATTTATTTATTTATTGTCGTAAGCACTCAGCTTTCATTCAAATTTAAGAACCATGTCTTTGCTTGGCTTGAACCTAAAATGTTCAGAAGATCTATCTGCTGCTTTTGACACTGTCAATCACCAGATCCTCCTGTCTGCCCTCTCATCACTGGGCATCACAGGGATTCCACTTCGCTGGTTTGAATCCTATCTCACTGGTAGGTCTTTCAGGGTGGCCTGGGGAGGGGCGGTCTCCAAAGCTCATCAACTGGTCACTGGGGTTCCTCAGGGATCAGTTCTTGGACCCCTCCTCTTCTCCATATACACTTATTTAATTAATTTTATAATTAATTTATTAATAATTCATTTCAATTATTTTGAAATTGTGTAATCACCTGCATTAGAAGTGGTTTCGAAGAGATTGTTTGCACAAATCATGGATCCCCTGTGCTTTTAGGACTGCAAGTTATTTTTTGTCATTTGGAGAACAGAGAAGATTCTTTGTCTTATGACATTCTGAATCAGTTTGGCTGTTATTCTGACACCACCATCTGTGTGCAGCTGAAAAACCCCAGATCACTTAGAGAAAACAATACTTACAACATCAGAACATTTCTGAATTGTTACTCTTCAGTATTTTACCCTAAGCTAAATGTTTATCAGTTTTGGAGACATGGTCATGTGAATGCTTTCTGTCTTTTTTTCATGCAAAAACTGCATTTTGAATGTCACCTCAGTAGGCCTGTGCACAAATAGTGTTTACTGTGACATCACATTATTATTTGTGACTGCACACTCAGTTTGCATGCATTACAAACAGACCTTGTTTAATGGCACATTTCTCTCTCTCTCTCTCTCTCTCTCTATATATATATATATATATATATA